GTACGGTACGGAGAGATCATCCTCATCAATCTCCAAAGGAAAACTAACATCTACATCCAAATTCAATTTGTCGTTTAAAATATGGAGTCCCATTTCTACCCAGTCTTATACAACCAATAAAAGACTCTTGCCATTCTTCTTTTGATGGGAATCACCTAAGAAGAAAAGAAATACAGATCTTCATCCATTAATATGATAAAACGTATCAAAGACTTCAATAATCTTAGTTTAGCATAGATCAAAATTCAGTTTCAAAATTAAATCTTACCTTTCATACTTGCATTGTGGATATTGCAGAACAGAAAATTCAGCACCTAAGCTATTATCAGTCATTCTTACATAATGTCAGAAGTTTGGTCCCAGAACTGCAAGTAGTAGACAAAGTGATTCATTATATAGAGAGAATAAAATAACTCTAGTCTCAGCTCATACTGTATAATTTCATAGCTCACCTCATCAGTATACTCTCACCACAAAGTGAAAGCTGAAAAGACCATCCCCAGGGAAGCAAAATACTTTTGATATGATGTCACAAGCAGAAAGTTCATCTGAAAGCAATTAAAATTAAAGGCTAATGTTAGCAGCAATAAAGTATACTTTTCCATAATTATTACAAAATACTAATAACATTAGGTAAAAGTCAACATGTTTCATCTCTGTAACTTCAATGAATGATTAAGTTTGTGGTCTGAATTTTCTCCCTACAACCTAAGTAAGTTATTGAGGAGGGGACGGATGTTACCCAGGGGAGTCTGCCGGACCAATCCAAACCAGTTCCAGCAGTTTTCCAAATTCTCAAGATTTTTAAAAGACATTTCTAATGATAACAAATCAGCACCACAAAAACCATCAAAAACCTTCCTTTGATGCACCAAAGAGAGCTCCTCAAAGTCTGTACAGAGACAAATTGGACCAGCGTTGGTTACAGCTATGTAAACTCACCTATTCTTTAAGGTAAAATGACTCCACAGACTTCTTGGCTCATGTCATGAACATTTCTGGTCCATGCTCCTGCAATCATATTAAACGGTACAATTAGCACCATTTTGTTAAAGCTTGCTTTTATTTATTACTCAACAAATCATCAACTTGTTAATTACATATAATTTACTCATACCACACACTTTTAAATGCCTGGTCTCTCATATTAGTTTGGCACTGGACTAAAGCATTAAGTGTACGTAACATATCACTCGGCACATATGAAGACTGCACATCCACAATTATCAGGACAGTAGTGGATAGGGCAGCTGAAAATTAGCTGCAATGCACATTGATAGCCCGCACCCCAACCAGAAGCCATTTTGCTGTTCCACAAGAATAATACAGAGTAACATATGTATGATATACAATGATACACAAACAGTACACCCATTTGCAAAAGACCTCCACAGTAACATACAGCATGGGAGGGAGAAGTGTACCCTTTCAATACGTTTTCAACAAAGCTTACAGTGGTGAGCCAAGTATAAATAACGGGCATCATTTACTGTGCCTCCAAAAATTTACTCATACAATACACTT